AAACACAGATCTGCAAGTGTTCGTTCAGCGGTTGACTCAACTGTAAAGAATGTTTTACAGTTGGTGCTACAGCCGCTGCTACAAGTGCTGCGTCTGTAGACTCTTTAGAATGCGCTGGAAACGGCAGAAAGAAAGTGGTTTTGTGTTTTAAATTTTTTATTTTTATTGGGTTTTTTCTACCTGAGATGTTGCTGCAGTACAGTGTTCATGGTTTTGCACTGGCTCTGTTAGTGGCAAAGGAGATGGCTGAAGCTAGGCAAAATGCTAAAGCTAGGCTAAATCCAGCCCTTAGTATGAAACTAAATGAGTACGACGGTTTGGTAAGACCAGGCTAGCACTAATGGGGGTATAAATAAATCTAAAAAGTACCCTTCCTACACACATTTCCATGTTGTTTTTTCCACTAATCTCTTTGACTTGATGGAGAAAAAAAACCCCTCTGTATTTCAGTCCCTAAAACCACTCTTTAACAATGTTCTCAGTGGTTCTTGACAAAGCTCATGTGTTTGAGAAAGAGAATGTAACACAGTTTTATCAACCCCTTGGACACTGAGACGCTCGGTTGTTATTGAGCCACGGTCAAAACATCACCTCTCTTCCTCATGAGAACTTTCACTTTCAGCCGTCACACGTGCTGTCACATTTATTGCTATCGTCAACGTCACTGGAAACAAAATAATTATAAATGCGTTTCAAAAAGTTGTTCCACATGCATCGTGAAGGTGAAGCCAGAACTGAAGAGCGTGAATCCTGTGGCTCTTCTGTGCCAGGATTAGGGGCGTTTTTCACAACTCACACACGAAATAGCCAGCATCGTACCACTTTTGGTCAGATTTGTACATACTGCTCCTTTAAATGGCTCCTCTCGATTCTAATACTTATATGCAAATGATAATGCAGAACTTGAACTGTTGAAAATTCAATTATAATAAAGAAAATTACAATTCTGTGGTTGTGGCTCTCGGTTATTAATATATTCTTTTACTTTTAACTCCTACACATGGAGCTTTTCCTCATATTGCTCATAATACTTCTACGACTTCAGATATAATGAGGCCGTTCTTTCTATCGCAATGACTTTTATGCTTTTGTTCCCAATTAAAGCTGAAAGGTGATCCAAAAGTTTAAGAGCTCAGGCAATAAACGTGACATTTTTTCCTCTGGCTTTGCTTTGGTTTAGACGGATTTGGGAACACATATTTCAGGGGATAATTGCACCTTTTTCTGCCTCTCTCGCTCGGTCAAACAGCAGCATTCACAGCATTCTGAAAGTAAGCTGGAAAACACACAGATATCATCTCATCTTCATGATATTTTAAACAGTTTTATGAAACCTGTCCTGCTCTGCTTTTCAAAGTGACGTCTGGTGGCTGTTACTAAGCGAGTAGTAAGTGTGCTTGAATGTTTGTGTACACAGAGCTGACGTAGGCTTGTTCCAGTAAGCCAGCGTACGGTCTGAAAAATAACAGAATCTTATCCAAAAACAACGGCGAGATAAACAGCCGTATTGCTAAATGTGACCCGATTGTTTTACGTTTTAAAGGTGCCATTGTCAAAAGTGCAGAGAGAAAGTGACGGCAAAAGCAATCTCTGGCGGCAGCAGGGCCTGGGTTACTGACAGTATGTGACGGTCGTGCCGTGAGTTTTTTACAAGAACAAATCTATTTTTAGCCGGTCACATGGTCAAAACATCCAGCAATCGCAGAGACCTCAGCAGGACGAGAGGTTGGAACTCTTGTTTATGGATGGGGGACATAAGAGATAAGTAAGTGAGTAATGTTTAGCACATTTTACAGACTAAGATCACCCAAAGCGCTTTACAATGTTCAGAGTTCAGATATTGTTGAAATCAATCCACACACGGTTCTGACAGAAGCGAGACGCCGAACACACTGGCCCATCAAAGACCCCAATATTTTTTATTTTTTATTTATTTAGACTCTATTAAGGACTCACATGCAAGCACAGGATCCATAGCTAAGAGTAATGAAAATAAACAAACAATAAACACCATCCATTCACTTCCTTTACATTCATACCTATTGTCCTGGGTTTCCATGTTTTTAGTGGTAATGATTCGAACTCAGGACCTTCTTGCTGAGAAGCGAGAGTGCTATCCATTCACCCACCGTGCCGAGGTGTCTAAACAATGATCCAAGACCTGAAATGTGACTAATTTATAACTTCACACCTCTAGGGTTGGCTCAAATTGTATATGACACGTTTTACTGCAGATTTTGGTGATTCTATGAAAACATATCTTTTCACCTCATTATAAAGCTGAAAAGTCATGTTCCAAGCCTCATTCCATGCACTTACTGTAGCGCCACCTGCATGTGGAAGTCAGATCCTGTCAGACCTCTGAAGCTATGTAGGGTGGGGCCTGGTTAGTGCTGAGATGGGAGACCTCTGGGAACACTATGTGCCAAAGTGAGGCGGCTACAGCAGTGCCAAGTACAAACCGCTTCACCCAGATTGGTGAGTGTGCGTCTGGTGTACGCACAATTATGACACAAACAATTCCCCCAACTGAGGGACAAATTAAGGTATTTGATGTGATGAAAATAGCTTTGCGCCGTAACTCGGGCAGATTTGTTGCATCTGTTTGGTCCATCCTTATTTTGCTCATATCTGGATTTACAACGACAATAGCAGGTTACTGAGCTGCAGGAGTTTACTTTTACATGTGAGTCAACAGAAGCCAGAGCGGAGTTGGAGCAAAACTTAACTCAATGTGCACCTCCCTATTGGGTTTCATTGAGCTAGCAGGTTAGCATTGTCCCTCTATATACTGTACAGTCAATGGGTGCGATACATTTACAAATTGGCTAATTAAGTATTCCCCAACATTTCTGAGCTGTGGCACACCTTTGTCATTTCAAAATATCACATAACCAACTGCATTTGATACACAATTGAAACAATACAACTTTTTTATTATAAAAGCAAGGTCATTTTTATCAATGTGTATTAGCAAATCAAACAAGCACAAAGAATCTTTCTAATCATATCACATTATTTTCTTTTCACATGGTTTTGACCCAGCAGGTGACATTGGTTCCTTCCCAAGGCACACCGACGTACCACGGCCCACTGGTTGAAAAACACTGGGCTAATTTATTCCATGCAACCATCATTTATCTATTCCAAAGAAATCCCAAAGTAAATCCTACCAAGCCAGTGCAACAAAAACAGACAAAAGTAAACGTTTGAGGTCCTTTTTAAAGCTGCTTACATGTTGATACTTCAGTCTAACAATCTCATCTCTGTTTGATCCTAAGTCACATATTGTTCTTCATGATGACTGCACCTCTACAGCTGCAGCCATAGCGTGAACTAGGAGGAATTCACAGTATCTTTGTCCACATTGGAGGAGGCCAAGCATCTGCCACAGTGTGAAGCATGTTTTCATTAACCTCCAGAAAGACAAACTAGACCTCCAACCCCACAACACACAAGGACATAAGTGTCAAACTGCAGACGAGAAGAGGCAGGGGAGACCGCTGGTGTTTGGAAAGAATCTCAAAGAGGAACAAAGATCCTGGTGCAAAGTTACATAAGAGTATCGAGATAATGAAAGCGTCTGGAAAAGCAATAATCGCATGTTTAAGTTGTTTTCTTTTGCTCTAAAACCACTAAACACCTTCTGAGGAGAGCGACCGCAGCCTCTGGTGAAATGTGGAACTTAAGGAGGACAGCGGTAAACACAAAGTCAAACCATATGAAGTTTGAATGACATTATTGACCAAAAACTAGACACAATATGGTCAGAATGTTATTGTATCATAGTTAAAGGTACACAGGAGGATTTTCCCACATTTTAGGAAAGAACAAACACATATGACCAACATGTTTGACAATCGGGAGGACCTATAGTCTTGAGGATCCATCCCGGAAGTAGAAAATTCTCCTGTATACAGTACCTTTAACTCGGATCTCTCACAATGCAAAGTACTCTGCTATCTCTCTCTTTCTGCAAAAATAGAGACTGTGTGTGTTGACAAAGAACGAAGAGTAAGATGAAAAGAAAGTCCCCTACCCTGTTTAAGTGAATGATAATAATTCTTTACTGTCGACCAGAGGCGATTTAGTAAGAGGGCCCCTTTAGATGACCATGGTTAACCTTGGTTATAGAGAGATAGATACTTTATTGATCCCTGTAGGAGAAATTCAGGTGTCCAGTGGCATCAAAAATAAAACATAAAATTCATTGCTCTAAAAAGCTAACAATAGTAATAATCAGCAACAGCACTTCAGGTCACAGCAGCAGAGGTGGAGCAGCCTGATATACATGCGCCGACAATAATGTATTATAAAACAGTTTTTTAATGGATTCGGTCTAGGAAGACATGTCCATAGTGACTCACACCATGGCTACATTAGAGAATAGAACACAATCAAAAACAAATGAGAGAATACACAACTCAACGCCTGGATTCTAAATGTTTTGAGCCTCACAGCTCAACTCAATTCAATGTATTCTTGTATATCCCTGAACAACAACAGTAGTTATCTAGGAGGACTACACACAACTGACAAATTTGCCAACACATATCAGAGACAAAAACAGATTTAAAAAAAAAACGCACATAAACGTTGACAAATGTAGGTACAGAATGAATATTATGGTGCAGCTGAAGTTGGCTGGATGACACTGAAAGCACCTGAATGGCTGGTTTGTGTTAGCAATGCAGAGGGCCACGTACAATGACACAGTGGACCGCATTTGACCCTCAGGCCTGAGTTTGGACACGCCAGATTGTACATTGAGACAACTATAAACACACACACACACACATGCATGCTCACACACACACACACACACACGCACACAAATAAGCACATTCCTCATGTAGCCTGCTTCACACTGATTAAGCGGTTGAAGATACGTGTTGGTTCCAGACTCGGGTCATTTCCATAAAAGGCTAAAATGAAGTGTTTGTGAGCAAAAGCAGTGGTGTGCGCGTGGAGCCAGCAGAGCAGCCGCTTCTCATAATTACCTGTAATTCTGCTTCTCGCTGCCGATCTGGAAGCGGTCGTAGAGGGAGAAGGCCTGGTGCCCGTCCCAGTCCGTGAGCTCCACTCTGAGGGCGTACTGTCTCTGCGCCGTCAGCTGGTAGACAAACTCGTTCCCCAGCCAGTGCTCCCCGGACACGCTGCCGAAGCCCTGGAGGAGCGCCACACGTTATCAACACCGAGAAAAACCACAGTAAGAGAACAATCAACTCAAGCTCAAGGATTCAATCAGGTCAGGTTTATGTTGTTTATGACGTCAAAGTTCTAATGGTGGCTGCGGATGTGTATTTATAAGCAGACACAGAAATCTCACTTGAACAGGTCAGCCATAATTCATTGTAAAAAGGACAATGGGTGCAGCTGTGAGTGCCACCGCCCTGACCCAGAAATGGATTAAGGGGAAGAAAATGGATGGATGGATGTATAGCCGTAAATCCCAACAGCAACCGTCTTGAAGGACTTAAAAAAGTTCTCAACAACCGATCAGAGCTGACATGCTTGTAATCTGACTCCATGCCGGGGGGGGGGGGGGGGGGGGTTTACCCGGAAACAGAATTATCCAATGCTTTTTCACGCCAAACTCATTCTTGCTGTGCATTGTTTCTGCTTGGCGTCTTATATATGCTTATAGTCCTTATCTTCTGCTGCTTCCTATTTCAGACCTTATTTTGACGTTATATATATATTTTATCACGTGCCTGAAATTCACTCGAACCAGAAGAAAACGCAAGCTTTCCAAGGATTAAAATTAAAACAATGTTAAAGATGCACTGCAAAACAATTTGGATAGGGTCCACTACTCTGTGTGCCAGACAAGAAACAAATTATGAAGTTGATGCAGGGTTGATTTCGGATCACCGTCCGGAAGGTTTGAACTCTGTGAGTGCTTTTCTAGATACAATGTTGTTCTTACCAAATGCCTGGAATTGCAATAAATTTAAAAATAATAAATAAGGTATCCAATCCTTCTCTTCGTCAGCCCTTCTGAAGCACAGTTTTAGATGAAGCTCATTATCCCCACCGCTGTCAGACTGTACAATGAGTCACTTTAAGTCTCTAATGCACTCAAACTGAAAACCCTGCACTGCTATTCCGACTCTTTGATTTATTGCCACTTTTTTATTGCACCTAATTATATCATGCACAGACTATTTTTTTTTACTTTAACATGTTGCACACTTTTGTCTTTTACACAACATGAGTGATTCTATCTGTGCCAAATGTGTGAGATCAATAAAGTCTATCTGACATTATCTTATGTTGCAGCAGTAGAAACCTTCCAAAACAGATCCTCATACACGACCAGAACTCATTACAGAAGAAGAATGGCCCCTGAATGCCCCCCCCCCCCCCCCCCTCTGCAGGACAGGCCTTCAGTGGAGGAATGCCCCGTATTTACTTTCCTCTGCTCATCACCAAGCACACTCAGGACAAACAGCTCGGCTCTCTCTCTGAGTGTCTGTAGAGTCATCCCTCTCTCCTCCCCCCGTCCTCCCCCAGCTCTCCCCCGTCCTCCCCTAGCTCTCCCCCGTCCTCCCCTGTCCTCCTCCAGCCCCCTCCAGCCTCCTCTCTCCTCTCAGCTGCTGTCAGAAGCACTTTGTCTGTGACTGCAGCGGCTCTGATGGACTCTGAGCTCCGGCCGCTGGTTGAAGGAGTGTCCTGTTGAGGAGCTGGATATTATGAGGTAAAAAAAAAAGAAGTTATAATGACTTTAACGTGTGTGACTTGGTTCAGGTGGAACCAATTTACACGGAGGAAAAGTAGAGGAAAGACCTTTTAAAAGAAGCCAGAAATCCAAAGTCACAGAAGAAATTGGGCTGTTTTTGGAACATATTATAATTATGATTCTTACTATTGAATAATAAAATACAAACACAATGACCAGGTAAAGCGTTCAACATTACCCTCAACTACTGTGGTTTTATTAAGACATACGAGGCATTTTGAGGCCATATCTGCAGGTGAAAGCCAGATTCAGTCAGATCGCTGAAGCTGAGCAGGACAGGACCTGGTTAGTGCTGTGATGGGAGACCTCTGTGAACACTAGGTGCCACAGCAGGGCGGCTGCGGCTGCGCCTATATCGAGTCTTGTGTGTGAGTGGTTGTTGGTGGTCCATGGCACATACAGGTTGCCTTGCTTTTGTCAGTGTGCCTCAGGGTATAAAAGAATAATAACATGTGAAGCGTCTTTGAGTGTCCAGAAAAGTGTTAGTTAAAAAAGTCTCCAACATGGAAGTGTCATGCTCTAACCAGCTCTGGTTCTCTGGCTCTTGTGCAGTGGGTGAGCACAGGGACTGGTCAGGAGCGTTCTGAGCTGTGGACGTTGGCTAAGTTTACAGCTCTCTCTCTCTCTCTCTCTCTCCCTCTGTCTCTCTCCCTCTGTCTCTCTCTCTCTCTCTTTGTATCTCCCTCTCTCTCTCGCTCTCTCTCTCTCTCTCTCTCTTTCTCTCTCCCTCTGTCTCTCTCCCTCTGTCTCTCTCTCTC